TACCGGTATATACTAGTCTATAGAACTGATACAAGTTTTATACCGATGCATGCCAATATACGCTTTACACCGCCGGTATAAGGCTTATACCGATGTGTAGCGGTATATACTCTCGGTATAGTCTGGTGGGTGTGGGGTGCGGGTGCTCCTTTTCTTTTCAACCACATCTACATCCACACACATTCGCACACCCAGCACACCTTCACTCACACCTCCACAAGTGACCATAGCGATGATCCAAAGGATCGCAATCATGGTTCGAGTGACCACAATGATGGTACCAAAGATCAGAGCCATGGTACAGATGACCACGACGATGATACCGATGACCATTTCTGTGACACAAATAAACGTAACTATGACATAAACGACCATAGCTATGATTTTGAGCTGAATGACTGCGTAAAATGACAGTGGGCAGTTAGGTATTAGAATTCATGTTGAGCTAGTAGCTGTATCCATAGATGAGGAATAGTAAATCCATGTACACTGTGAAACGATTGCATATATTTGATATTGCACTGTATTGGACCTTGTTTCTCGATATACAATACACAGACATACGACAGCTTACCGGGAAATACTGAGTGGAATAAAGGTCGTATGTAGTCTTCAAATACGAAGTCCGTAAACGATCGGGTTCTTCTGTCTATGATACCGAGAAATACAACTGTAATACAGAGTTATGTAGAACACCAATATACGACGATCTATCGTCATTTACGAGCGTGCTTTTTTTATCTTGAATCCTTTTCAAGTGATTTTCATTGTAGTTAAACTTATGAATATTTTAAAGTATTGTACACGGTTGGAAATAATATTATTCCAGGGGAGTATCGCTATAATTTCAAATAGAGTAAATAATGAATTCTATATCAAATAAAAGCCCGTCAAAAATGGGATTTATTCATATGAATAAAAAAGGACTGTAAAGACTTTTCGTGGTCGAACTTTGACAATTTCTAGAAATCCATGTACCACAGTCACAGCAAAAGTTTTTGTTACGCGAGAGAAATCAAATTAGCTATGGGATAAAACTACTTAATATAGCAAAGGTATCCCTACTTTCTATGGCCTAATGAATGATAAAAAATAAACCTAGCTTTGCTATGTTAAGTAGTTTTATCCCATAGCTAATTTGATTTCTCTCGCGTAACAAAAAATTTTGCTGCGACTGTGGTACATGGATTTCTAGAAATTGTCAAAGTTCGACCACGAAAAGTCTTTACAGTCCTTTTTTATTCATATGAATAAATCCCATTTTTGACGGGCTTTTATTTGATATAAAATTCATTATTTACTCTATTTGAAATTATAGCGATACTCCCCTGGAATAATATTATTTCCAACCGTGTATAATGTTACATGCATGAAGATGTGATGTAATAATTATTAAGAGTTAGAGAATGAGTCGAAGCATGAAATTTGGATGAATGAAAATTTTATTTGTCGAATATTGTGATAATAATAATTGCTTAAATAGAAATAGCGCTAATATAAGTAATTGTAAAGAACTGTATACATTCTAGGTTATATTTATTAATCTATATCAGGTGTCATAAAAGTTTTGCAATATTTTATGTTTTGCATATAGCTCAGTTCAGACAAAAAATAAAATCTTGAATTTAATTTTGGAAGATGCGTAATTTAATTCTCTATAAATTTGTATTTAGTCTAATTTAAAATAATAGACGTTAACTTTTTTATGGGTCAAAAAGTGTGACTATATGAATTGCATCTACTTTCCACACGTCTTTCTGACTACATATTTTCTTATTATCCCGTATTATAAACAGGCGTTTAAAAAAACTAATTATCAACAATACTATCAGATATCAATGCCCTTTTAGAATAAATTATCTGCGTTCGATTACAATATATTTGAACCTAATAAAAATGGTCTGTTAGGTATGCTACTGCAAAAACAGCATTCTTGACAACATCCAAATTCTTCTGCCGCCTGAATTGTTTTATAAAATTGTTTTTTGAACTTTAAGAAGAAAGAGAAGTCCATTTCTTACAAAGTACTGCAAAAATGAACTCCGTTGGGTCCACGGTCACGTTTTTAAGAGATGCTTTTCTCAAAATGGATAATTGAGAGGAAATTTTGCGATTGTCACAATATTGGTTCACAAAAAATTCTGTCTAACAGAAAGACTGAATGTTAATTATATTAAGCGATCGACCGAACCTTTCGAAAGCCGTCTGACAGTCTACTTTTTTTAAAAGCGAAATATTCGTTCACACGAAAAGAACAATTCAATAAAAAACTGTGTGGGAAGTAGATACAATTCATATAGTCATATTTTTGACCCATAAAAATGTTGAGATGTATTATTTTAAATTAAGCTAAACACAAATTTATAGAGAATTAAATTACGCATCTTCCAAAATTAAATTCAAGATTTTATTTTTTGTCTGAACTGAGCTATATGCAAAACACAAAATGTTGCAAAACTTTTGTGACACTCGGTATACATGTAATATACGATTCACTCCATACATGAAGAAGATATACAATAATACTAATGATGAAAAATAGAAACATTTTCAATTTCAAGAGTTTTATTCAAAATATTGAAAATTCGACCAAAAAATCGCTAAAATCATTATACTACTATTTTTGATCTCATGTCATTGATACAAGTCCAGTAGTTCGATGTATATCAATAAACAACAAAAAAATAATTCATTCACTGTCTTTAATCATCATTTAAAGTCGAAAATAAATTTCATGAAGATTATGAAAGAATATATGGCATATTAGGAATCGATTTTCTTTATAAAAATACAAATCAAATTTTATAATAAAAAAAGATTGGTTTTGTGAAACGCCTATTTGTTACATGTTGAGTTATTTCTTGCATTTATCTAGCACCTTATGTAAAGCATATTCATACCTAGATACACGTATGTACTAGATATGTAAATTCTGTCAGTCTAGAGTCAAGTGTATCGATGTTCGATGTATGTTACTTGTGAAACGAGAGAGAGAGAGACAGATAATCTAAATACGAGAAGAAAGGAGATAAACAACAAAATAACTAACGATAAATAGTCATTGTGGAAGAAAATGAAAGAAAGGAGACAAACAAGTAAAGAATAACATTATATGAATAAACAAACGATGAAATCAAGATATGAGAAGTAAAAGATGACACATTCAGAATAAGCACAGAACATCAAATAAAATACATTATTATTACATTGGAATATCAATGATTTTATTCCTTCTTTTTATTCTCCCCTGACATGATGTTCGCAAGACTTTTATTATTGTTCTATTTTTCAACTGAAAATTATCAAATTCTTCTTCAATATCTTCCAGTAAAATTCCTTTCGTTTCTGGACAAAAAAGATATACGTATATTGCGGCCAATAAACAAAAGCTACCGAAAAGATAAAATACTCCATGTATTCCTAATGGATTTATTAACTCGAGTGCATATGATATGATGACACAACAAAACCACGAGCTTCCTGTAGTTATTGAAACAGCTGTAGCTCTAACATTAAGAGGAAAAATCTCAGCTGCATAAATCCAAGCGACTGGTCCCCAAGAAATTGCAAAAAAACATACAAAAATAGTTGTAGAGACAAGCATTAATATACCAGAACTTCTTTCACAATTCACAATTTCATGATTCATTGTAGTGTCATTAGTGATAGTTTTGATTACGCCACAACCTGTAGCAAATACTGTTGCTGCTACGAAATGGCCAACTACCATACCAAAAGCTCCAAGTATGAGAAGTTTTCGACGTCCTAGTCTATCAAATAAGAATAAGGCCGGAAATGTGCTGAACATAAGTGCACCAGACAAAACTAATAATGATATGATACCCTTTCCAAGAATACTTTCATATATAATACCACCAAATGTAAATACAACATTGATACCCGATGTCTGTGCTAAAATATGTATGCCCATTCCTATACCAAGTCTTTGAAGCATTTTCTTTGTTGTAAATAGTTCTTTGATCGAACTTTGGTTACCTTCTTTTTGTATAGCATCAGCAATAGCATCTAATTCAGCAGTTACATTATCTGTTCTACGAATACGTTGTAAACTTCTCTCTGCTGATTCTCTACTTTTATTCTTGAATAACCATCGAGGAGTTTCAGGACAGAAAAATATGCCGATCATAATTGTAATTGGAGAGATTAAAATAATTCCATTTGACAATCGCCAACCCCATTTATGATCTTGAATTAAGAAATTGACGACATTTGCAGCAAATAAGCCGATTACAATCGTCATTTGCATAAATCCAGAAAGCATTCCACGTAAATGTGTTGGAGCTATTTCAGAAGCATATAATGGACAAGAAAATGAAGAACATCCAACACCTGCTCCTTCGACAACTCGCCCAATAAGTATCAAAATCATTATCTTTTTCGAACCACCTGGGGGGAAAATGACAATTGAAGTACCAATTAAAAATAGAACTGCTGAAGTGAAAATAATGGCTCGACGTCCATATTTTTCAGCTATAAATGAAGAAATGAATATAGCACCAATAAAACAACCGAGATTATACAATAGCGTAAAGAATACTATAAATCGTCTGTAATCGGCAGGCAAAGCAGCTACTGGAAGATCGCAAACATTTGCATTGGCGTATATACCAACACAAAAGTCATTTTTAAATGAATTCATGACAACTATTCCACCAGTCACACCCTGATCATACCCAAAAAACCACCCAGCCAAGGAAGAAAAGGCAGCTAATAGAACAGCAAATGTTGATTTTGAATATTGAACATTTTTATGTTGATCATGCTGATGAATTTCATCTTGAGATGCCATTAGAATTTTATTAATATGTTGATTAATTCTAGTGATGGTTTCTATTGTGATTTTTATATTTTTTGTTGTTTGCTACAATCAAGTAATACAAATTTACTTTTTGAATGATTGCAGCGATAGTAGTTAAGTAATCAAAAGGTTGATATTGATGTAGCGGAAAGAAAAAAGGTCGAAGAAAAAAAGGCAATTATAATAAAAAAAGGTTAAAGTGGAAATTATTGAAAATGCATCTATTCTAGCTTTGTTACCTTTATCGTCATTAGACTATGTGCATAATCTATTCATATTGCATTAATATCATTTTCAACATTTTTTCTTCGTCAAATCAATGCATACAAAATATATGGTCGTTTATTTTAACGGAATCTTTCCTTTCCCGACACAAAATTTTCAGTTTTTCGTTTTTCACTTTTTTACGTTGTCCATGTAGATTTCAATGTCCTGCATCTAATGAGCACAATTTCAGGAGGCAAAATTATCTTTTTTGTGCGTAGTAACATCGAAAAAAAACTCAATTTTATACTAAAACAGCCAAAAAGTGCAATTTTCTTTGCTATTGTTCCAAAATCAATTTTTCAAACAAAAAAAATGAAGTTTCCCTTTTTCCTCCCCCGTAGTTTTCATTTATGTTTGAACAAAACCGTTCAAATGATCAAAACATACGGTTTTGAAGTTTAACTGGTTTGAGAATGAAAGTGATGATAATAATCTTCGTATTGAAGGTAGTGATTCAGAAATGGAAAATGCTCATAGTCAATTATTAGAAGACTAAGAAGAAATTGATTTAGAAGAAAATGATTCAAATACAAAATATATATATATATATATATAAGTTTATACAATTCTAGTTTCGGTATGGTTTGGTATTCGCCTCTATCTTATGCATCAGAAGGAAAACTTTATAGTAATGTAATTGAGATACTTGGATCTACAAAACTTATTAAAATTGTAGGGTGTGGGGGTGGGTGTGAGTGTGGACATGAATAAAGAGAACACCCACACCCACAATCCACCTTGTCACAATTAGGCTTACATAAAACCTGAATATACGAATTTGATGAATTTACTTTAATATTTGTTGACCCGGACTCGGATGTGGTGGTGCGTCTAGTGCAGAGAAGAGTCTCACTCACACCTAGCTCTCTCATTTCGCTTTTATTCTTTATAATTTTTATTTTTGTGAATAAATTGTTTTTCCCTATTCATATGCAAAAATGTTGGTTTCCTCAACTGATTATTAATTAACATTAATTAATTAATCAATTAAAATGGAATAAGTTGATATCTCTTTAACCAAACGAGAAAAAAATACAAAAAGTTCAAGATTGACTCAATGACACAAGCAGCACCTATGGTAAAATTTTCAATAAGATCGGATTGTATAAAACTTCCTATGGAAAACCACTTTTCAAAAGAACTTCAATCAAGTTCTGAAACAAAAATTTTTGTCTTATCATGATCTAGAGATTATGACGAAAGATTTGTATTCGTTGGAATAGGCTTAAAACTTCTCATCTAGTATTAAGAGCATGTTTTCGTTTGTGCATCCGTACTTCGTCATGTCACTAACGAAAATTAAATCGATGTTTTTGAAAAATTTAGGAATGCTCAGAAAAAGTTTCGCATGAAGATTTTGTAGCTTCAGAATTTTTCTGAAGATTGTAATAGTTAGTTTTCATAAATGATGCTTTTATTTTAGTATTTTTGTTTAAACTAAAATGCATGAACTAAAAGCCGATGTTCTTTTTTGTGTTACGTCACTAACATTTGTCTTTAATTGATACCCCTCTGAACAAAGCTCTCTAGAGTTCAGCTTTTTCACGGTATCTGGAGTAACTTAATACAGGTATAACATATAAAAATTAGTCCTAGGAAAGTTCATTATCTCGAGATACACAAGTTTTTATTGTAGAAAGTTTCGTGGCTAACGAATGTAGTCGTCCATAGATTTTAAGTTTGTAATCTTATTTTCCTAACCACAACAATAGTATGTAATATACAGAGTGGCCTGAAAGTCAATAAACCGAAGAAAAAACTGAATATCTTCGCCATTGTTCAACTAAATGAACTGATTTTTTTTTACCGATGATAAAAAGTTATTCAGAGTTCATATCCTGAGGGAAAATATCGAAAAGAATTGTTTTTGATGTATCTGTATTGATTTTAAAATAGAAATATAATCTTTTGTCGATTACTGAACAATACTTTTGATGTAGCATCTCCTAGTTAACTCATAGATTCTGAGCTCGAATTTTACTGAATAGTAACAGACCTCTTGTCCATCATAACTTCAAAGTGTTTCATTTTTTTTCAGCATTTTGACAGAGATCTTAATTTTAGTCAATGTAGGCTAAAATTATTTTAATATGATATTAATGATGACTCAATCCGAATCTGAGATCAATTGGATTCCGGTGTGAGTGTGCATCTTCTCTGTTCACGAAACCATACTCACATCCCCTTTTGAAATATTTTTTTAACAGATAGAAATCGATATTACCTTGAAGGAAATTTGCGACAGCAATAATCTTTTGATTGAGGCTATACTTTATCTCACATTCTAAATGGTTTGATTATTCATACAATCGAAATTTAATGAATACATGTCATAATGGAATATATAAAGACTTATCGTTTTATTTCTATTCATAAAGTTGCGTATTAAAATTTCTTACATTTGTCGAACATAGTGATTTCGTTAATGAAATTTCTAATTGAAAGTAAATAAAAAGATGTAGATATGGATGCATTTATTCTTTTCGTCAACATCGATTTGGAAAACAAAGTGGATCAATATTGACTGCTCAGTTATTCAATTTCAATTTGAAGTCGATCCAACTTATTTCATTGAATGCGATAGTACAATTGAGTCACGTAATACACAATAGGAAGACGATATTCGACATTTTGGTAGTGTGCTCATGTGATTTTGCTTGTCGTAGAAATATGTGAAATCTGCAGTCTACTCATTAGTCATCCATTTTATCTTACGGTATGCACAAATAAATCTCATTTGAAACTTCTGTCCGCGTTGAATGGCAACAGAAAACAAACGGTATGAATCATCATTATATTCTCGTCAAGAATGTCGTCGCTGATGAAAAAGAAAATAATATAAACTTTTTTTTTCTTCTTTTCTACGAGAGCTCGCATCTTTATTGGATTACTGGCATGCTGGCAGAATATGTTTGCGTTTCTTTCCATTTGAGAGTTAAGCACTCTCTGTCCTTCATGATAGAAAAAAAAAGAACCATAGAACGATGAAAAATAACAAGCACACTATTCTACAATTATAATCATCGCGCGAGCGTCTCCATAGGTAAGAATACACCAAAAATTTTATGTCGTGCAAAATAATTTCTAGATTGACTCTTAACGGTTTTGAGAAATTATTTTGTGCACATGGTGGTTGGATAACAATTTGTCATGCTGCTCATTTGATAGGTAATCGTATGAAACTAATTGATAGTGCTCTGCCCACGATTGAGTGCCTTCTCAAATGACATTCACGTTTGCGTTCTCGTCTACACATTAAAGCTAATGACTATTTTCTTGATACTCTCGAATACAATATAAAATATCTGTCGAATTATTTATTCTTTTCGACGATGGACTGCAGTGAAGATTCATGGCAAGATATTTGTGAACGTCATTGTAATAAAGATCCATATTCAAATGATGGCACAATGATCTTTCCACTTTTTCATTTCATTGTACTATTTAATTCACAATCATTGGAGAACAACGATCGTTTTCATTTGCTACTCTTTACAAATCATATTGCCTTCGATGGTCGAAGTGGATTCGTTCTTATCAATGATTTCTTAACTTTGGCAACATCATCAGATTTGAATCCCATATCTGTAACCAGTCAATCTTGATATTCTTCCATTGATAAGCGATTTAATTCGTCGATCATTTGGTCTTCTTTATCCAATTTTATTCTTTTTCGCTAAACGTTTCCTTTAGCATGAATTTAGAAAATTAATTCGACCACGAATTCCAATCAAACTTTATCGAATGCCCGATAGTCAATCGAATAAATTTCATGTACCACGATACTACACGAAGTTTCTCTTTTCTGCAAGCTCTATCAATCTCTATGATAGTCTACACAAACAATGTCAACAGCACGAACTCACATTAAATGGTGCACTGTATACATGTCTCTTACTGGCTGCTCACCATTGCTTTCCACTGGAAGGTAACACTCGATTGCAACCATTTTCGATTGGTGTTGCTTTCGATATGCGTTCACATCTAACTAGATCACCCTTAACAAAGAACTCTGTCGGACTCTTTATTGGCGTTAGCGATATACAACTTCATCGATCACTTTCAATACGATCTACTCGATTTTGGTCTTTAGCGAAGAAATGTATGATAAATACTCGAAATCAATTGAAACACCATGGTGTTCCATTGGTCATGAATATGTTGACTGACTTTGGTAGAAATGAAGAAAGTTTTGAGCAATTTACTCGAAATTTCCCTGATGGACGTCACTCGCAATTGGCCTTCTCGAACATTGGAAAATATCCATTTTCGTGTGATTACAGTGAAGGAGCAATTCGCTTGCATAGTTTACATACAATAAGCAATAACAGTGTATATCGTACATCGACAGTGGTATTTGTTACATGTGCCAGTGATGGTCAATTGGATATTTCCATATCTCATGAAATGGATAGTGACGAAAGAGCTAAACAATTTCTCAACTTCTATATGCGTCTCATCGAAATATGTGCCAATGAAAAACTTTGTTATGAAGAAACAACACTTACTGACATTTTGCAATCTGCTCAGTATTAAAACAGGTCGTATTAATAGATCACAAGTGGGTACTTTGTGCAATAAAGTGAAGATTCGATTGTTATACCTGGTGGCCTAAAAGTAAGGAAAAATAATAGGTATCCCATAATAACTGATGAAAAACTGTTAATGATATTTTTCATACTTTTTATTGATATAAAGAGCTGAAATTTTTATTACATATATAT